ATACTTTATTCGGCCGGTCTCATGTTTGGCCACCCGCCAGCCTTTTCTTTATTTAAAGTCGTTTATGTTTGGCTTGATGCTCATGTATTTTCTATTTCCATATTACGAGTTAAGACCTTCCGTGGAGAGTATGGACATCGCGATTGCCGTAAGCCTGCCTAAAATTTCCAGAGAATATTTGCATTTTTGTTATAAATATTTATATTCCTAGATACAGTGGTGTTTAGTGCTAGGGATCAAGCGGAAAGTAGCAAATTGGCTCGGGCAATCGCAGATACGCTATCTTCCTTTTGCTAGAATCTAAGTCTACTATAGGAGACGACTCTTCGGGTGTCAGTACGGATGTCTACGATGCTTTGTTTGGTGTAGTTGAAGTGATTTTATGTGTCTGTGAATGGTTCATGCTCAATTAAGCCCCGCATGGGCACTATTTTCATAACCGTAAATTATTACATCTCCTTTTAATCATTTCCAAATTTTCATCTATGTTTGTTTCGGCTCGAGGATATTCATGAATTAACTCTTCCGTAAGCTGCGGAGTTGCTTTAGAGTGGAGATTGGTTCCAAGCCGTCCTACGACCAAAAGAATACGTGCCAGCTTTAGTCTGTTACTTGGAAAACGCTAACGAAGAATCCTTACGGAAAATTCCATCAAATACTCCTAAGACCTTTTCTTAGCCTATTTGGTAAGCTTTTTTATTTGTCACATGACAAACTAAAGCTCACAATTGAATCGAGGACGTAGGATGGTGAGCCTAGTACTTCCCCATATAATCCAATCCTTCTAATAAACCTTTCTTAGGAATGAAGAGCTGAGTCATGTGCTATTATGTGATTATTCGAGATTATATTTCTCATATTTCAGCCAGTTCACTGTTTTAAACCCTTTTGACACTACTTATCCCCCCAGCTACATTATACGATAAAGGGCAGTCTAGGTTTTCGAGCTTATAGATATATCTTGACTAAGAATTGCAGTAATCCCATGCCGCTAGATGATTTATAATGAATTTTCTCAGTGATATTAACGGGTCTTTGAATTTCACCCAAAAGGTGTTTCCATCCAGTGTTGAATGATTCGTCGACAATCGCCAAATCGATGAGGCCAAAGCCATTGGTTGCTCTCAGAGTCACGTCAAGTCTGGTACAAGGGCTTCTGGCATCATGAGTAGCAATAATATCGAAATTAAACACCCGCAACCACTATTTGATTTCTTCCGTGAGTTCGGACAAGACTTGCGCATGATCGAAACTACAGCCAACCCTACATTAAATGCTTTTTAGAGAACCTGAATAGAATTGCTAGACCTGTTCGTTTCATTGTGGAAAGTTCGCTATCAGTCCTTCGTCACCTTACCAGCTGGGGTGGCTACAGTTGAATAAACTCTCTTATATTCTGATTTATTCTTTAAGCACTTATTTTTCTTGACATGGTAAACCAAGTATCGTGTCATTTCCTCTCGAGCCACACAATGTAACGAGATTGTATAATCCTCCGTAAGGCTCAATTTAAAACTCGTATTATGGC